CTATGTATATTGACCAAGTTACACAATGTATATAGACACAGCTATGTATTGTATACTATGTATATTGACCAAGTGGCACAATGTATATAGACACAGCTATGTATTGTGTACTATGTATATTGACCAAGTGGCACAATGTATATAGACACAGCTATGTATTGTGTACTATGTATATTGACCAAGTGGCACAATGTATATAGACACAGCTATGTATTGTGTACTATGTATATTGACCAAGTGGCACAATGTATATAGACACAGCTATGTATTGTGTACTATGTATATTGACCAAGTGGCACAATGTATATAGACACAGCTATGTATTGTGTACTATGTATATTGACCAAGTGGCACAATGTATATAGACACAGCTATGTATTGTATACTATGTATATTGACCAAGTGGCACAATGTATATAGACACAGCTATGTATTGTATACTATGTATATTGACCAGCTATGTATTGTGGCACAATATTGTAGCACAATGTATATAGACACAGCTATGTATTGTGTACACTATGTATATTGGAAGTGGACACAATGTATATAGACACAAATTTATGTACGTTGTCACAGCTATGTATTGTGTGTACTATGTATATTGACTATGAAACACAGCTATGTTTGACATCAATGTATATAGACACAGCTATGTATTGTGTACTATGTATATTGACCAAGTCAAGCACAATGTATATAGACACAGCTATGTATTGTATTCATATGTATATTGACCAAGTGGCACAATGTATATAGAGCACACAGATTATGTATTGTGTACTATGTATATTGACCAAGTGGCACAATGTATATCACACAGCTAGCTATATGTAGGTATATACATTAAACTGACCACACGTGCACATGTATTTAGACACAGCTATGTAAACTTCCTGAACTACGAGAGTCACAGGTGATATATATAGACAAAGCTATGTATTGTATACTATGTATATTGAAGCGCAGATCACACATATGTATATAGCTGAACAAAATTATGTAAGCGCTTATGTATATTGACCAAGTACGTAACCTATACAGAACACAGCTATGTATTGTTACTATGTATTGACCAAGTGACAGAAGGTACACAATGTATATAGACACAGCTATGTATTGTGTACTATGTATATTGACCAAGTCACACAATGTATATAGACACAGCTATGTATATTGTATTACTATGTATATTCTTAATTAGCACAATGTATATAGACACAGCTATGTATTGTATACTATGTATATTGACCAAGTAGCACAATGTATATAGACACAGCTATGTATTGTATACTATGTATATTGACCAAGTGGCACAATGTATATAGACACAGCTATGTATTGTGTACTATGTATATTGACCAAGTATGGCACAATGTATATGTATAGACACAGCTATGTATTGTATACTATGTATTGTGTACTATGTATATTGACCAAGTGGCACAATGTATATAGACACAGCTATGTATTGTATACTATGTATATTGACCAAGTGGCACAATGTATATAGACACAGCTATGTATTGTATACTATGTATATTGACCAAGTGGCACAATGTATTGTATACTATGTATAGAGACACAGCTATGTATTATATATACTATGTATATTGACCAAGTGGCACAATGTATATAGACACAGCTATGTATTGTGTACTATGTATATTGACCAAGTGGCACAATGTATATAGACACAGCTATGTATTGTGTACTATGTATATTGACCAAGTGGCACAATGTATATAGACACAGCTATGTATTGTGTACTATGTATATTGACCAAGTGGCACAATGTATATAGACACAGCTATGTATTGTATACTATGTATATTGACCAAGTGGCACAATGTATATAGACACAGCTATGTATTGTGTACTATGTATATTGACAAGTGACACAATGTATATATAGACACAGCTATGTATTGTGTACTATGTATATTGACCAAGTGGCACAATGTATATATGTATATAGACACTAAGACACAGCTATGTTATTGACCAAGTGGCACTATGTATATTGACCAAGTAGCACAAAATAGAGCTATGTACAAAAATGTATTGTGTACTATGTATATTGACCAAGTGGCACAATGTATATAGACACAGCTATGTATTGTGTACTATGTATATTGACTAAGTCACACAATGTATATAGACACAGCTATGTACTGTGCAATATGTATATTGACATGACCTAGTAAGATAATGCATATAGACACAGCTATCCAAATATCTTATCCTTAGATCTATAAAAGGAAAATCGTGTGAAATCAGTTATGAGAGCACGCATTCGCTAAAGGTTATACTGCCCTGCGTGGGCCGTAACACCTGCCACCCAAACATTTATAACAGCAATTTGCATACATTTGCATAAAGCGTTAGCACTATCTCCCCTCCCCTCCCCACACACACACATCCGTGACTACCCCATCCGTGACACCAGGACCAAATGGTGCAATTAATTTTAATGCCCTTCACCGAATGCAAATTCAAGTTCAGTTATGCAACATGATACAAATGATGACAGACCAAAAATAATTGACAACATCACGTGTCTATTGATTTGTGTTATGTTCAAAGTACGTTATTTCGTATTCGGTTCTGTAGAATGTGTCAGCTACCTAGCAAAAACATTAGAGATTTCTTGACTACCGTCCACGCTTCAGGGTACATTCTCGTTGCCTGCGTTCAGTATACATCTGTAAATACAAGAATTGTGTCTTGGTATTTGTCAGATCAAGACACAACCGTTAATTGTACCGTTAAGTACTTATACCATGTGATTCCCTTTCCCAAGTGCCACAGCTGTTGGTCATGTGATAGTGACGAAGAGCATTCCGCGTGCAGCATGAGTAAGTTGTTCCGATTGTCCGCATGTGCAAACAATCGAAAGTCGAGGGCTTCCACAGCTTGTGCTGTACGATCTCACGTCTGACCAAATCATTTGAAATATATATTCCAGTTCGGCATTGATGTGTGGATAGAATACGCCTACACATTCATGCAGAGGGTCTAGAATATAAGTCCTTATTAGCAAACGTAGCGCTTAAAGATGTGAGTCAGTTTGGTCTTTGTGCCACATTTAGCCTTATTTCAAGGGCGGTGGGGTAGCCCAGTGGTTGAAGCGTTCGCTCGTCACGCCGAAGACCCGGGTTCGATTACCCACAAGGGTACAATGTCACTGTACAACGCACGTTACCAGCATCCCAACATGGCGGCAGGTAAGATCGCTTGGCGATTATTCCCCTCGAATTAGCAGTCTTCCACGTGTATACAATCAACATTATTTAGCACACTGATAAACTTTGATGGTGGAAACACATTGAATGTACTGAATTTGCTTATTAATGTCTATGTGTTGAAGAATAAGCATTTATAAAATCGCACGAGGCTGTCGGTAACTCAACGACTGGATGTCGGTAACGTGCAATGAATGATGCTGGTTACGCATACTGTCTTGCTTTAGTCGGTAAACAGAAACTGTCGAGTTATGATACAGGAAGTATGGAGATACCGAGACATGAAACAGAGGCATGAAACGCGGAAATAAAGAAACATGACACATGGAGATAAAGAAACATTTAGTACGGAGATGAAGAAACATGACACATGGAGATGAAGAAACATGACACATGGAGATGAAGAAACATAAAACAGGAGTTAAAGGAACATGAAGCATGGAGATAATGAAACATGCAGCACGGAGGTAAAGAGGCATGAATCATAAAGAGGTAAAAGCGTGGAAACATAAAGGCATAAAGCTTGGAAATACAATGGCATAAAGCGTGGAAACACAAAGGCATAGAGCGTGGAAATACAAAGGCATAAAGCTTGGAAATAGAATGGCATAAAGCGTGGAAATACAAGGGCATAAAGCGTGGAAATACAAAGGCATAAAGCGTGGAAATAGACTGACTGACTGAGTTTGGTTTTACGCCGCTTTTAGCAATATTCCAGCAACATCACGGCGGGGGACACCAGAAATGGGCTACACACATTGTGCCCATGTGGGGATTCGAACCCGGGTCTTCGGCGTGCGTGGAAATAGAATGGCATAGAGCCGTTGGTAACATTAACAGCAGCATCAACAAAGTGGTCACGGAGACATCAAATGCGGAAAGTTCCCGGCAAGACCGTGTGCAAGACAAAATAAAATGCAAAACAAATTTGACAATCAGATACACGATAGTGAATAATTGAGGCGCGCAATTCGGCTTCCTTAGATACAGCTGATATTTTTTTCGGAAATACAAGTGTTGTCGTGGTACGCTATCAAAAATACAGCCACGGATATGTTTCGGTTAAACGATGTTTCTTCTATAAGCTGAATGTAGGACATAAATTGGTTGTCGCATTGTCACACTTTGGTGAGTTTTGACAGTGTTTGTTTTTGTAAGGGTGACAACGTGACAATGTCCCTTCTTGGATTCTATATGTGTAACAACAATAACAAAAGTCACGATCTAATTTCTTTTTCCTATCACACTCACACACAAGCTTTTAATACAAAAATAATGAGTTCGTAAACTCAACTGCATTTTATTATAAAATGGGCGTTGCCCCAACACCAAACAGAGAGGGTGGAGAGTTAGAGAGACAGAGAAACACAGAGCGATAGAGACTGAGAGAGAGAGAAAGAGAGAGAGAATGGAGAGAGAGAGAAGGGAGAAAGAGAGGAGACAGAGAGAGAGGGAATGGAGAGGGAGGGAGAGGGAGAGAGAGAGAGAGACGGAGGGACAGAGAGAGAGAGGGAGAGGAGACAGAGAGAGAGAGGGAGGGAGAGAGAGAGAGAGATGGAGGGACAGAGAGAGGAGAGGAGAGGGAGAAGAGAGAGACACACAGAGAGAGAGGGGAGAGGGACGGAGAGGACAGAGAGAGAAAGAGAGACATAGAGAGAGAGGGGGGAGAAAGGAACAGACACACATAGAGAGAGAGAGAGGGGGGAGAGAGAGAGAGAGAGAGAGAGAGAGAGACAGACAGACAGCTGCACTGACCTCGTACATGTGCCGTACCGTTATCCGCCGAGCCAGATCGCAGCATGTCCCACGAAAAGCCAGTAAATGACTACGAGCTATGCGCTGTATTTCCAACACAGCAGGAAGGAACCCAGTTAGAACTAGTTATTACATATCATCATATCATATATACATTTGTATAGCGCCGATATCCAGCTCCGCTCAGCTGCTCAAAGGCGCTTTGTTTTTTCCCTCGTTCACTGGATGTCAATCTCAACGGCACATCGTATTGTCAATCTCAACTCCCTGGGGAGCATACAAACTCATATGATATCACAATACCCCAACTACTTCACGCCAGTACACTTCACCAGTCAAACTCGACCTTTGCGATCTGTATCTCAGGGCCGAAGGTATACACTTGAACTGAGTCTATATGTATGATCGTGAGTCTCTAATTATTATTTGTTCCGAGATCTCATTAACACATATCTCCAATCAACCAATGGGGACATTAATCCGCATTCTTGCGTCTCGGCTTGCACATTTGTGTTGAGCGCTGCTGAACAAGCTTAACAGTGCTTTGTACTGTTATATTGTATATACAATATTATTTCGCGGCGAGTCAGCACAATTTTGGAGGCGACTCCTGTTTGGTAATGATTCTGAACGCATATCAAATCCCATGGTTTCCTGTGGCTGGTAAGGGCTGTGGGGTAGCCTTGTGGTTACGTGGCCGTCAGGCCGAAGACCCGGTTCGATTCCCCACATGGGTACAATGTGTGAAGCCCATATCTGGTGCCCCCCGTGATATTGCTGGAATATTGCTAAAAGCGGCGTAAAACCATACTCACTCACTCACTCCTGTCGTTATCGCAATGTGTAATCTAGCGGACTGTGCGCCAGTGCCCTTGATAGTGATACTTCACTTAGACCACTCATGTGGTATCTATATATACATTGGCATGTCGATGGCTACAACCTGGAGTTATGAGAGCAAATTTCGAATAAGAACCAACGGTCAGCAGATCCTGGTACGGCTAAGGGACGCAACTCTTCACAATTACAACGAAACTCGGAAACGGATACAGTAAGATGCCAGAAGGTGGTTGTACATTGTGTGTCAGTTACATGTGCAAAATTCCAGTTAAAAAACGATCAATGATTACCATTGACACATCTCCCATTGATGACATTCGCGAGGCGCCTTTCACTTTGCGGCAAGGGTAATCAATTTTCTTCCCATTATTGTTTGTCATTAACTGACGGAATTGGATATGGAATCAGGAGGTGCTTAATTAATACGCATGGTGATCTAAGATTAGTTCCGATGTTATAATCTGGTACATAATCAATGATAGTTAAACAAAGCCTACGTTTCTTGACGGTTTGTTTGTTTGCCTGCTGTCTAACGCCGCACTCAGCAATATTCCATCTATATGGCGGCGGTCTGTAATTATCGAGTCTGTACCAGACAATTCAGTGATTAACACCATGTGCATCGATCTACGCAATCGAGATACGATGACGTGTCAACAAAATCAGCGAGCCTGACCACCCGATCCCGTCAGTCGCCTCTTACGGCAAGCATGGGTTGCTAAAGACCAATTCTATCTCGGATCTTCACCGGTGTAGATAAATCAGGTAGTATCGACTATAAACAAACACGCAAATAACTGGAGTACCAGACGCAGTAACATCACCAAGGCTGAACGGCTGTCTCAACAAAGAGGACTCTGCAGTAAGACGGACAAAGTCCTGTTGTTTTAGAGGGTTAAAACAAAATTAATGGTGTATTTTAACAGCAGAGTTAACTGTAAAATTGCGAAAGCAGATAAGTTTCAGCTTTATGTGTAAATGAAATAAGCGTGGATTGACTGCAACATCTCAGTAAAGAAATCTTATCAATAGTAATGTGTGGTTAGATTTACAGGTAACTGGCAGTAGTAAGTGTGGATCTATGACTAGATACAGACAGAAAAGGGTCAGCCACAGATACAAGGTCAATTACAGGAGAGTCAACAAACGTTCCTGGAAGTATGTCACAACTCAGTGTAAAGCTTATATCCTCAATGAAAACAACATGCTGCACGTAGCTGTAAAGCATGAGCACAGCCATCCCGATACCGAGTTTTTCATGCATGTCGGTGCATGCTTTAAGAGCAAGCTGATTCAGCTTTGTTGTACAGAAACTACCCCTGTACCTATCATCTACAAGGATGAAGAAGAGGAACACCTTTTATGGATAGACAGCTTCTTTATTGCAGTGGATGCGCGTTTCGGTGTAGATCCTAACACCGTTATCAAGCAAATGATTCACACGTCGTCCTGTTGGCCTCCTTGTCGGGAGTCCGACTTTTCTTCCCATAAGATCATCATGTACCGACAACGCCACAAAACCATGCCTCGTCTGCCACGAACCAGGCAGCTAGACATTGATGGCCAGTGGGCCTAGAAAGACGCAGGGGATTCCTACACAGAGGTGAAAAAGAAGAACCCATCCTCATCCTGACTAACAAGGACCTAGAACAACTCTGGAAGGCCGACGTCGTTACGGGGACGGCACGTTCTCGTCAATTTTGTGGTTGTTTGGCAAGCTCTATTTTTTCTAGCTGAGTTCCGGGACATGTGTTTCCTCTTATAAACTGTCTGCTCCCAAGTCGGTCCGAACACAGCTTTGAGGGAACTAAGGACACAGCACAAACCGTTGGGTTCTCTCCAGCTCAACAAGCATTTCAACTTGACTTGGAAATGACCAGCGCAAATGAAGACTTAGTTAGGTCTTTCCTCGCTACCTACCTCAGAGGTTGCTCTGGCGTCGCACACAGAACATCGGTCCGGCAACGGAGTCAGCCAAGATTAATAGATCAAGAGGATTTCACAAGTTGTTTTGGACACAGTCAAGGATGTCTGGGCAGAGGCTGTTGGAGTCCTCCGGGGCAGACTGAGTGAGTGAGTGAGCATTGCTCAAGGCCATATATGCAATTTTGCAGCTATTCACAGGCAGCAGGACACAGAACTTGGAACAACATTATGTTGCGTTATACACTATGTATCGTTTTACGCGGCTTCCAACAATATTCCACCAGAAATGGGCTTCACTCATGTGGTTTATCGAACCCGGGTCTTCGGCGTGACGAGCGAATGCTTTAACCACTAGGCTTCCCAACGCCCTCAAATATTTAAAACTTTCATTGACTGAATAGAGGTTGACTCACATGTGCCGTGTGCCGGGACATTCGTCACCAACTCGTGTCATTCCGGACAAGCCGAAAAAAGGCGAGTAGTTACGAATGGTGCCGGGAAGTACTGTGAAGAGCCAGTCACCGAGAAGCTGTGGTAAGTTGGGTCACCTTGACCGGCGGTAAGTCTCTGTCCGTGCATCCTTTATTCCCAGGCAGTGGCTGTAGGTTCCACTACACTAAATCAGTATCGCTTGCTCGCTGAGCCGGTCCGTATGTAAACAAGTCAAGAGAGACAGAGACATGTGGCAGCTGTGATTGGATGAAATAGTGTAAGATGTTTGTTTTTAAAAGCACATCCAACCAGTAATTAAAACTGACCATAATTTTAAGTATTAAATGCTGTCATTTTTATCACCATCACTTATGCTTATTGTGTGTACAGATATTTTCCAATAGGTGACATTTGGTGCGATACTGGGGTTGATGTGTTCCGCTTCCTGTGCTCGCAAAACGAGCCGGACAAGTTGGCCAGATATTGTGTTTTATGGTAGTTTAAAGGCCAGAGTGTACCCATGTGTACATGGAATGGCTGTTGATAGCCTGTCCATTTTTTTAAAATTATAAGGTTACTAATGAAGTCTATGGGAAAACATTTGGTGGCGTTTAACCTGTAGGTAACTCGACCAGCCCTTATCTCACCAGCTGTCTACAGAAATCTCACTCCAACTTCTTATTTTTGCAGTTTCCTTCGCTTGATTTGAATATGCATCGGGTGTTTGCCAGAATGTTCAGTTATATCTCTTCTATTTGTAAGACTTGGTGAATTACTACCGTTGTGCAATAATTACGTCTCACGGAAAAGGGATGGGCAAGTGTGCCTATTGCGCAAAGTACTCCAGTGAAAGATTACACAACACAGCAAAACGATAGTAATGATAATAATAAGAAAAATAAGTTCATCAAACAAAATAAACTGTTTAGAAACAATGAAAAGCACTTCTACAGGCAACTGAAAGCAAAGGGTGATGGTGAACATGACAAACGGCCTCCCATGGATGCCAATGAAAGGTTCTGGAAACAGTTGTGGTCTGTACCCGGCAACTGTAACCTTGAGGCACCATGGGTCCGTGATTATGACCATGCAATGCATGAGAAGTTAACTAGGTCGTTTGTCTGTTACATCTCACCAGATTGCCTGAAAAGTGTTATAGAAAAGTCCAAATCAAATACAGCTCCAGGGCCTGATGGCATTCGAAATCGGTATTGGAAACTGTTCCCCTGTGTCCAAACACCATTACTACACTGTTTCAATTCTCTTGTGGACACAGGTGATGTTCCTCCATGGTTCTGCAAAGGTCGCACAATACTTCTCCCCAAGAAAGGAGACTTGACTGATCCCAAAAAACTTCCGCCCTATCACATGTTTGAATACACAATACAAAATATTCACAGGGTGTTTGACAAACCTCGTGTCATCTTACTGCTCTTCCAATGATATAATTTACAGAGAGCAGAAGGGAGCAAGAAAGGGATGTTGGGGGTGCAAGGATCAACTTCTTGTACAGAAAATGATTTTGGAAGAGGCTAAAACATATCACCGCAACCTCTCCATGTGCTGGATTGACTACAAAAAAAGCATACGACTCTGTCCCTCACGAATGGATTCTGAAGTCTCTTCATTGTATTGACCTCCCTGAGCGAATACTTGATTTACTCAAGTCTTTAATGAGTTGCTGGTCGACTCAGCTTGAGATGTACTCGCTGGGGCAGGTGCAGACTTCGGAATCTATTCCAATCAGAAGGGGAATATTTCAGGGGGATTCCTTTAGTCCTTTGCTTTTTTGTTTGTCTTTAAATCCTTTGAGCTTTCTGCTCAATAAAGAGGAGGGTTACCATCCCGGACCTCCTCAGCACAGATCCCCAACACCTCTTACTCATCTCCTTTACATGGATGATATCGAGCTCCTTGCCAAAGGAGATA